TCTCCCACTTGTGCATCAATGCTAGGCATGTTAGGTGATTATTGAATCTACAGCAATTGGTTTGTGATCCCGTTATAATTCTAAGGTTATTCTTTGTTTGTTCTATGACATCCTTAAAGCGTTTTAGGTGTAAGTTCCTAAAAGCATTTTTGATTGTGATAATCTTAGTAGCCTTTCCCAATGAAATACAGAATATAGTGTAAAACTAATATTTTTAATAAAAACTAATAATTTCTTATGACTGATATGAAAAACTTGTAAATTTTCTTTAATTTAAACTTAAGTTTGAAATTTTACCCTTTCAGCAACTCCTTGGCCAATTAAATCTAAACAAATTTGTGACATAAATTCTTGTTAAACCGAGGAAACTGTTCAAAGGATACATAAACCGAAAAGAAACTTTATAACTTCGTTGCTATTGCAACAATAAACAAACTCCAAAACAAACTGCTAATTTCTATTAGAGCAATTACAAGCTGCTGTTAATGAAGTTGCAACTTCGCTTGACTCTCACTCCGCAGGATCTTGTAAATGTGTAGAATTCTTGGCTGGTGTTGGTGAAAAGAAAGTATTTTTTCCCAAATTGTTTCTGAAATTTTCTGAATGTCATAGAATTTGAAATAATTTTTGAGTTGGTAGTGTTGGAACCAAACGCAAAACGAAGTTGCACCAATAATTGCCATGATTGCCGCAAGTAAATTGGCAAACTTGTGCAACTGAAATGGATTCAGAGTGGCTTACATGGGGAAATGTTCACTTTTATTTGCATCGGGTAGCCAAATTCTGGCAGCTTAAAGACTTTTATATTAAAAGTTTTGAATAAAAGTTTCTAATACAAATTGCATCTTAATGTGCAATTGCATCTTAATTACACTAATATATATACGAGGGTTGTTATATCAATTTTACAAAACATAATCGATCGTTATAGCAGATGAAAATCAAATTAGAGCTTTTGAAATAAAGGGGCTAAAAAAATGTTATAGTCCCATACGCCTGAACCACGAAGATATGCGTCAGCGCACAAACGCAGAGCTACTACAACTTTGTAACGGATGCCGTAACATGTTGTAAAGTTCGAAAAGTCGTAACTATTGCAATGGATCAGACACGTCATGTCAGATTCATTTTGTGGTCTTCCAGAATGCTGGAAGACCACAAAAGCGAATACTCCATTTGATGCCGTATAACGACCACAGTAGAGGTAGGCCAGGTATAAGACGACATCGTAATAATGGGTATCCAAAATTGGAGGTTTAAAACAACATTCAAAGCAGTATGGAGAAAGTTGGTTGATGCAGCTAAAGCTCACCCCGAGCAGTGAAGCTGATCAAACTCTATAGAATGATGCTTATCATGTGATGTGTTTAAAATAATTAAAAAAATTGTTTTCATCAAATTATTTTAAAATTATTAACTATTCAAGACTTGGAAGTTGCAAGTATTCCCAATTAATAAAACAGTTCAGGTTCCTTAAAATTGTGTAGATGCTTTTTTAACAAAATATTTTAAATTGGATTACTGCATTTACATATCCTTAGCAAAAATACAAATACAAATCAAAAGAGATTTTAGTATCCTCTTCTTTAATTTTGTGAAATGCAATTTGTCGTATAATTCAGTTCCAATCGATTTAAAGTTGTTTCGGAATTGCATTGCAATTTACAAATTCCTTATATGGAATTCTAAAAAATGTTCAATATGCATGTGTCACATTTGTATTTTTGGAATGAAATTTTACAAAATGATGCCGGAGTACGTACATTTTTTGCATATCGTACAATCTTAACAAAGTTCCTGACAATCAAGTAGAATGCAGGAATTCTTAAAATATCTTCGAGACGAATTGCTAAATCTTTTCACTTTAATATGTAGAATTCGTCAGATACAATATTATTTATGCATATTATTTATGCATCACAATCAGAAAATCCTATTCTGATTTGGCACTTAATTCCTTGTTGCAAGTCACGAGTTTCTTGTTTCTTGTTTCTGAAACAACTCATTTTTATTTAATTAAAATAAAAAGCAGAAGATGAAAGTTTTCAACTGCATTCTAACTTTTTAATAGGTTTCTGCAAAGTTCCAATTTAAAACATTTTACATGAATTGAAAAATTGGTAAGTTGTTTTCTTTTCAATTTAATTATATGCCTCAATGGATTCTTAAAAGAGACAAAATAAGTTGTGAAAGAAAACGAAATGTCAGGAAATTGCTAAGAAACTTTCGAAAATCTTGTTTGTCAAATGCAACCGAGACATTCTCAAAAATAGTAGACGAGATACTAGACGAGACGAAACGAAACGAGACGAGAACAGAATAGAAACGCAAACTTGTCTTGTTGTCATGAGGAAATGATTGCCACCGGCCTTTCTTCGCATTCATTCGGCTGCATATCATTGTACCATAACAGCATAGGCCAGTAACGGCGACGTGTATTGAGCATGTCCCTGGCGCCTCCAGCAACATTTATTTCCTTATTACCATTATTTTTGCGATTCTTCTTAGTTGTTCCCAGCAAAGTGCATTCACACAAAGAAAGGCCTGCCCTCCTCTTTGCATTTTGCTGTCTGTTGTGTATTTTTGCAAATTCAGATTTCCTTCAGCGGCAACACAGGCTACGTCAGCAAAGTGTCATTAACATCGGCCAAACTATGTGCGCTTTCCAGACTGCCTCATAGCTGAGTATATCACAAAAGCATTTTGCCTATTTTCTTAATATAAACTCAATGTCATTTGCTGCTGAATGCGCTAACAATGCTATTGCATTGACTCAAATCAACTACAGGACAGATTCCGCACCATTCATCAGTTGCATTCATCACTTGCAATCTTGAGTCTTTGAGTCTTTAAGATTTTTCATTTTTTATTAAATTTGATTTTGCCATTTAATTGAAAAAGTTGCTCAGCTTAGCGGAACAAAGTATCGGAACATTTGGAATTAATTTATTTCCTACATCTATTGTCCTGTCAAAAAGACACTTACCTCCTGCTGATTCCTATACGTATAGAATTCAATTTATGGGATGCTAATCTTGCTACTTCTCACAGCAATGAGTATTCCATAGTGGTCCCCACTCTCATCCCATGAAGTGACTCTACTCTACATGGAGTGACTTTAAAAATTCCGATAATGTTTATAGATTTTTTATCGGAAAACTCATCTTTGTTTTTGTCCTTTTGATGAAAGTTTGTGCAAACAAAATTATTTGTGAAGGAATTTAAATTAAATGTCAGATTGTTTGTTTTGATAGAAAACGCTACAAAGGATTAAAAATGTACATGCAACAACACATATGTGCATAAATTTATTTGGATGTGACTTTAATGTAAAACTGCATTCTGTTGTTGTGGTTGTTGTTATTGTTGTTGCTTTTGTTATATTGCAAAAATTTTATGCAAATACATTTGAACCCTTTTATATGTCTTGTCACATTTGGTGACATTGTCACATTTGCATTTCGTCCTTATTTTGAATTCACATTCACGTGCGCATCGAATGTGCACTTGTGAAGGATTTAGGACCGAATTTTTGTACATTTTACATGCATCTGTGTTTTCGCATAAACAAACAATTATTACATATATCTCACGCGATGGCAATACATGCAGTGCGTACAATATTGATAGCAACTCGAGTTTGATAAAAATATTTTCATTCGATTTCATAGATGCAAACTTATGTTCATTTGACTTGATTACGATGAAATTCCTAAAATTAACTCTAAGCATCTTAAACAAACACTGATAGTTAACTTATTATTACAATAAAAAAGAAACTTAACACGGAATTGTCTACATATATTTTAGGCATTAGTAATGATCAACGCGGATAAAAGTATTAAAACGGTGGCATAACCAGGAGCGCCAAGAGGACCGGACATAGTAGAAAATATTATTTTTTTGGGCAGTGTTTGCGAAATTTTTGTATTTTGTATTATATTATCAAGGTCAGAATCTATCCCCTAATCTATCTCCTCTGAATACGACACTTTTTTAAGAAAAGCTCAGTGTTTAATGTATACAGATTGGGATATACAAGCAGCATTAAGTTCTTGCAAAAACAGTATCTTAAATAATACAACAACGTATGAAAGAGTTTTCGAAAGCACATAAGTGTATTCTGTCAACAATGATACCAAACTGTACATATATATATATAAATACTTTTGAATTAGAGAAATTAACAAGATAGACCATCAATGCAATTTGTAGCACAGGTATCTAATACGGATCAGTTTAAAGCCCTTTCAACGGTTCAAAGTTCTTTAAACTGATCTGTGTCTTTAAAGATTAATACATAAATATGAAAAAAACATTTATATATATATAAAAGTTAAGCTCAAAATATATTATATAAAAATTATATATATGTACAAGTTAATTGTTAATACGGATGCTGAGTACCGACTTCTAATACCAACTATCTACGATCGACTACTGCTGCCGACTGACTACTACTACTGCTACTACTTGACTGCTTGACCGACTTCTACTTGACTGCTTAGCCGACTTCAAGATGAATCCTTTACCACTTTATGACCAAACTACGTATATCAAATGCCTCCTTGACATGGTATAAAGTTTTTAAAAGTAAAGAAATACTAATACTTAAAAGAGGTTTGCAAAATAAAACTAATTTTATGAAATATTACAAAAATGCTTGTATCTGTAGTCCGTATTTGCTTCTTATTGTAAATTCTGAATATTTTCACAATCAGTGCCAATATTGACTTCTTAGGAGAAAATATCTTGGACACATTTATGAAAAAGGAATAATCCTTTAATTGTATAAAATAGTTCCAACTAAATACAACCCTGTGTTAAAAAAGTTTATACCTATATGACAAAAAAGTAGAATTCGCTCAAGAAAATACTATAGTTTGACATATGTTTAGTATACAGATAGCATTGAAATTAATATGAACACATACAATTTTTCTAAATATTCATTACAAAATAAATTTTTACTTTTTAATATTATCACAACTCAATTTTAGTTCCATCTGAATTTACAACTCAAAGTGAAATGTCAGAGTTTACACCAATTAAAGAATCCGAAACAGAAGACAAGAAAGCTGCACATAGTTCTACAGACGGCAAGAGTGGCCATTACTCCGATATGCTTCTGTCTCCTATTGAAAACATGTGCAACTTTGTTCCATCCGAAGATGATCAATGTCTAGTAAGTTCTGAACTTATCACAAATGATAAAGATTCTATTAGAGAGGTTAAGTATCCAATATTAACTTTAAAAAAAAAAGAAAACTCAGAATATAAGAGCGAAAGTGGGAGTCCTATAAAAGTAAGTAGAAGATAACTTGTTAATAAACTATAAATACATTTTTAACTATGTATTATTCAAGAAATATATCATATCAACTGATGGCAATACCGATATATATTTTCAATTAGCTTCTGCAACTTATCTTCTAATCTAGCTGCAATGATGGCTATGATAATTAGATGGGACATATAATAAACAATGTTTTTTAGGACAATTAGGTATTGTATGCCTGTGATATCTAGTGTGCTATTACTAGAAAAAGTCTGCTATTCTAGCTGGACTATTGATATAATTTTCAGGTCTTCATTCTATTCTACTAAGTGATGGACGTTAAATACAATACTCTCCTCAAAACAAAAACTAATTAAATAAAAAAAAAAGCTAATTAGTGATACTTTAAATAAATTCATAATGCTTGTTAAAATTCTTAATAAACTGGATATTTTTACTGAAGTTTTTTCAAGCAATATTGAACACAAGTGTTAACTTTGAAGTGAGTCTAAAAAAGTAGTCACTATGACTATACCATATATATATATTACTAATTAGTCTAAGGAAGATTACTTTAAATATACAGTCACTAACAGAGCTGAACAGACTATGCAGACAAATAGGTCTATAATAGATATTGAAAAGTTAAGAGAATCTTGGAATGAGTTAGAGTTAGTCACTTCTAAAAGAGAATTTGTTGATGCATAAAGTCGAATTTGAAAGAAACGATTTGTTTTCCATTTCTTAACCAGATTTTTATTGATAAAATTATTAAATTAGTTGATCCAAAAAGTTTTATAATTTTATCTAAAACTTATGTAAATATTTTTCTTTTTAGGATTCCAAAAGAATCCTTCTTATGAATCTTCCTCTATTTCTGTTAATTATTAAGTCTATATTTTTGAATCATTCAGATCTATACAAGTTTTATAATTTCTTTGCTTATACAGAAGAATCACTTTCTGAAATTAATATGGTTTGAATACTAAATCGAAATTTTTTACTATAAATAGTCATTCACCTAATCCTACATAAATTTGTTTTGTTTGTCTATTTGATTATTAAGTATTTAAAAATATTATTTTTTTAAGAGTGATGTTCCAAAATTTAAAACAATCAATGAATTGACTAGTAAAAAAAATGGAAATTGTATGATAAACACTCAAAACGAAGGATGTCCTCAGGAAATGGAAAGTACTGATAAATCATTGAAAACAATCACCGATGATGACAAATACTCAGACCAGTGCATTGAGTATCCAATCCTAAGGTTAAAGAGAAGGCCTAAAACTGACTATACGCTAACAAGAGAGGCTTTTTCCAAGGTTTGTATTTTCGGTAAAATAAATCTTTCAAAAAATTGAAAAATAATTAAAATATTGCAATTAAAGATAGGTAATAAAAATTGTAACATTTATAACGATTAAGAATTATTAGGCCCAGTGATTATAAATGATGGATATAAAAATGCTTGAAATATAAAACCGGCATTAAGTCACTAATCAATTTTACGTTCTGAAAAAATTACAAAAAATTAAATTCTTTTTAATTTTGTGTTTTATAATTGAGTTATCATAAAGTTCATTAGATTTAACAACTCTACTAATATTTTTGACTTCAAGAATCATGCAATAATAAGCAATCCAATCGAGTGTGTATATTTTATAAACCAAATACTCTAATAATATCTAATTTTACTACTTAAATGTTTTTTTCACTTTTATTGGATTTCAGAGTGCACTGCTAGAAAGCAATATAGAGTCAATAACTGAAGTCGAAGCACAATTCACACAGAATGATCAACAACCTGATAATTCTAGGTCGTTAGCGGGTGCTACTGCATATTTAGGTATAGAAGCAGTTGAACACGTAAACAAAGTAGATTACAATGAGGCACTATCGGTGTTTCGATTAGAGAAACAGACATTATCCACAGATTCAGAATCTGAATATTGTAGTGCTGAACAGCCGATATCGCAACTTGATACAAAAATTAATGAGTTCTGCCTGCAAAAGTCGAATTCATTGGTTGATATGAAAACCTTGCGCTTACTAAATTGCAAAACGCCCATTACTTTAAAAAAGGGAAATATCACTTCTAGATGCGCTGGGACTATAAAGGACTCTACTGGTTCATGTTCAGCTTTGAATGTTTTGCAACAACTACCAACTAAATACTTTTTTCAACACGGACTTCTATCTTCAAACAGAAACAGTGAATCAGATATTAAGTTTTATTCCTTACTCATGTTGAAAACTTGGCGCAAACAACGTTTGGAAGTTGAGAGGATGAAACAAGAAACTGAAGAGGCCAAACAAAATTGCAATAACACAAGAAACCAAATCTATGTACTAAACAACCTCTATCGTATTGAAATGAAGTGCAACACGGATATGCAAGTCCATTTAGGTTTCGTTCTGGAGAGTATTCGCGAAAACAAATGCATTGCCAAGTCGTTGACAGAACAATGCGATTTGTGTTTAGTGAAAAAATCTATGCTTCAAAAAAACTTGCAGTCGAAGAACGTAGAATG